CATCAAATAGAAAACCTTAATGTGATGCACAGAGTGCCCCTGCCTAACCTTTTTGTTTTTTATCTTCTGTTACTCTCCTATGAAAACATTAGATCCACCCTATTGACTTAACTACTAGATGTCTATATGCATCATCCTCTCTCTGACCTAGGGCCTTTTCACCTACGAGAATGCTCTTCCACCCCCTCTATCTCTTTATCATATTACTACATATCCTTGAAGATTCAATCCATTTACTCTAAAGGCTTCCTATGCCTTTCTTCTAGCCGAGGTCTCTATCTGCAAGTGAAAGGACAGCAATCCTGTTTTCAAAAAGCACCTTGAATATCAGAGCCCTGTCTCATTGGATTACTGTCTCTTTCATAGCTCAAAGCTCCTAAGGGCAAGGAATCTGTAGCCCTTGTTCTTATCACACAATAGGGCATTGAGATGTTTCACTGAATAAATAAGCATTTCCATTTATTCATGTACTTGATCTCTGGACTGTTGACTCTTTTTGTCTATTGATTTATGATAATTAATCATTTCCGCTAATGGGGTACTATGGTATCCCAAGAAGCTTTTATTACCAACATTAATTTTAATTTTGAGATGAGTATTAATATTCTCCATCTATCTCCTTAAATAAGAAAGAGAAAGAAGAGGAAAAAGAAATCAGATGCATTTCTGAGCCCTTGCTCTGTGCCAAGAATCTGCTAAGTGCTTTAAGATGTATATTCTAGGACAACTTATTTTAGCCTCATTTTATACATTAAAAAATATCAAAGTACAGAGATGTTAAGTTACTTGCCAAATGTCACACATACCGATACAGTGATAAATGCTGATATGGCTGGTTGTATACTTCTCCTTTATCCGAAAACATTCAAGAAACATTTGTTGAATATCTGTACATCGCATACTTGGTGCCTGCATGGGAATTCAGGAAGGTTTCAGCTTGTCTGTGAATAAAGAGGGATAGACAGATGAGTCGCTGATTGAAACATGGCCTCATTTATGCTATGCAAATGTATGCTCATGGTCTGGAAGCGTCAGAAGTGCATCAACTGGGCTTAAGTAGAACCCCTACTGGGAAGCCTGCTTTCAGCTTCACTCATCTGCAGCGGAGCTACAGGCCAGCAGTAAGTGTTAACAAAGCAGAAGAGGGTAAGAGGGCTTTCTAAACACAGACATGAGTGTGTGCAAAGGCCTGAAGACTTCCCTACCCCTCTGTGGAATTCATTTCAAGAAGGGAATTTATTTTCCTAATTAGACATAAGGGTAATATAAAGATAAACAAGATACAACCACCCTATTCCCTTTTTATATACTTAAAGGACCCTGTACCAATTTTTTTCTCTTGTATTTATGGAGAGGTTCTTCCTGAATCCCAGAAGAACAACTCAATCTGTTAGATAGATGGATAGATAGATAGATAGATAGATAGATAGATAGATAGATAGATAGATAGAACATATTGACCAGTGTGAAGGTGTTGTTTATATATTTAGTGAGGAAACCTTTTTCTCTATGCTCTGATAAGCATAGACATTTTGCTGATGATACATACAAGCACCTGCCTTTTTGGAGCTCGGAGAAATAAGAGAAGCACTTACGCAGAGAGACCTAGCAAACCATTAAGAACCATGACGGGGACATGTTGACAGTGACATGTTTGTTTCCAGGACAGTCTTGAAGCATAGAGCAGGTAGTGTGGCCAAGTGGTCTAAGGCGCTGGATCTAGAAGCATAGAGCAAAGGCACCCAACACTTTGTGCTCACTGCCGGAAGTCAGGCTTACTGGCTAGAAATACTTGAAACTATGCTTGAGATCTCAGTCTGAAGATAAGACTAAGTGAACATTTTGGATTAAATTTTACATTTACGCTGTTTTTCTTTAATTTATTTTTTAGCATCATTGAGGTAAAACTGACGAAGGCATTATACTGAAAGTGTACAATGTGATGTTTTGATGTATGTGTACACTGTGAAAGCATTTTCACAACTAAGTTCATATATCCCTCACCTCACATATTTACCTTTTTGTGTTTGTATGAGAACTCATAACTTCCACTCTCAGCAAACTGCAATTAAAAAAACACAGTATTACCAGCTATAGTAACCATGTCATTATGCATTATATCCTCAGAGCTTATTCATTTTATAATGGGTACTTTGTGCCCTTTTACCATCCTTTCCCTGTTTCCCCCTTTCCCCAGCCCCTGACAACCCTCTATCATTATCATCATCAGCATCCCCAAGTACAAGAGCTGGTCCTGAAATGCATACAGAACCACCGCCGCAGTTCCAACCAGTATGCATAAATGGGCTGGAGAATGATACGTTGTGGTTCAGCTGTAGCAAAGTGCTTCTGCAGGATGCCTGGTCAGTGGCGGGACCATTGAAACCAGCCCCTCTGCAGACATTTAGCTCTGTCCGGTGTCTGCTCTTGAGAACTCACCAGTGCTGCAAAGTACAAGAAGCAATAACTCTTTATAGCCTGTGACTGCCGATCTGAAGGAACTCCCAGACTGCAAGAATGGGGTGAGCACATCAGCAAATAAAAGTGGTTGGAAACCCTGTGCTTTGACTTTAAAGTTTTATTTTGCTGGCGCAGTTGTTTTACTACAGATGGACATGAATTTAGGCAGGGTAAAAGAGCTGGTTAGGCACAGCAGAAACAGAGGGCTCTGTTCTGCCCCTGTCCCTTTTTGTTAGAAGGAGGGAAATGCCCCCTGAAACAACAGCTCCTGCCTTTAGAGATAACAAAAGATCTTAAGAGACCACTGCTTTCATTGATGGGGGCCATGAGCACTTGAAACGATGCAGCTGGATGCAGAGTAATTATTTTGCCTCTTGTAGACACTAACCATAAGCCGAGCAGATAGGTTTGCATACTGGTTTCAACACCGCCTTTCTGGGATGTCAGTCTTCTCCTGGGAATAATAGGTGCTACTCATTTCAAGGCAGAAACAGCAGGCAAAGTGGAAGGTGAACAACATGGAACTATCCAGTAGTAATTTGCAAGAAGCAGTTAACTATTGAGGTTTCTAGTCTGAGGGGTGGGGGGCAGGGCGACTTGTTCTCTTTTTAATGCTCTGGAGTATGACCTTGTCAGAAGAGGTCCCCTATTGACCCAGCAGGGCTTCAGGATGGGAAGTGGGGAGCCCCTCTCTCTATACAAGCAGTCGCTACAGTGGTAACTGAAATGGTGGTGAAGGCGTTACCGTCGGCCTGTGTGCAGATTCTGGTGATGTGGGATATCCAAGTGCATGCCCCTGACTCCTTGGGGGAAATTATAAACCCTTATTAGGATGCTTAAGCTTCCTGAGAAAAAGTAGCCAGGTTTCATGTTTTGCGTGTAGACTGAATTCCAGGCCATCTATCAATCAGAGAAAACTTCCCAACAATGATAATAAGGCCTTAAGGAGACTAGTTTTTAAAAAAAATAAAGAGAAACTCAGCTATCTAGGTTTCAGTCTTTGAGCTGAGAAAATGAGTTCAAGTAAGAAGAGTTTTGGGAATGCCCTTAGGACAATGATTAATTTACTTATTTCAAAGAGCTACCAGACCATTTATGTACTCTCCCTTCCTCCCTCTCTTCCTTTCTCCCTATTATTCCTCTTCCCTTTCTTTTTCATCCCTTCGTTCATTTATTCCTTCCTTCTTTCATTCAACATTTAACTATTATAGCTCAAGCACTATCTAGAAAAAATCTCCAGTGGCTCTCAGTTTGGGGGTGACGTGTGGGTGTGTGCACACATGGTGGGGAAAGGGCTGCTTTTACGTGGGGGAAAGACACAAAAGTCATTATAACAAACTATTACAGGATTTATAAAAAAATAAATATTTGTTGGTAGGAGGAGAATCATTTTCCTGGTGAAACTAGGGAATATTCAGTGGGGGAAGTGACTTTCAGTTGTGTCAATAAGGTAAGAATCAAAGGAAAATTAGGTGAAACTGGAGAAGAACATTTCAAGCTGAAGACAGAGGCTTCCCGGGGCTTACAGAGGGAGGGAAGCAAGTGGGCGCTTCGGGGGAATTGCAAACCTTTCAGTGTGTCAGGAGGTGGGGCAGCAAAAGCGAGATGGGGCCCATCAGTGGGGCCTCAGGCACGGAGTGTTTTTAATATATTTGTATTTTCTCCCATGGATTTGATGGCTGGGCTGAGTGGCTCACGGCAGGCAGAGGTACCGCTTTTGAGGCATGTGCCTACTTCCATGAAGAAAAGAAGCAAATTAAATGAAAGTTAGGCAAATCCCAATGAAAGCAAATTATAGACGGTCCCAAGTTTAATTCACCTTCCTGTATAGAAGTCTGAGAGAGTACAATCGCCCACATTATTTATAAACAGAATTATTATTTTCCATTTAACATGGCTCTATGCAAGATTACAGTACATAATATGAGCCTCCAAGGCATTTTAAATAGACTTTTATTCTATTAACACATACAGTGTCAGACACATCTGTATTTTCCCCTAACCGTGGCTCAATAAGACAGACAGTGGTCATTCTTTGCTGTACTGGCCACTGCACACACATTAATTGGGTCACTTGATTTTCCATAGTTCATAGGATAACAGTTGGTAGCTATAAATTTCAAATGAAAAAATTAATTAGATCAGTTCACTCTGTAATCACTGTTCAGGTCACCCAAGTAAAACAACCTGCCTCGCATCTGTCTGGTACGTCTTGAAAGTTTAATATACTGTCAGTGAGATTGTTGCAGGAGAACACATGCCGTGTGTAGGACTTACTTGAAAGGCTGAGCTAATAACACACAGTATCTTTACTAGAGTCAAGCCTTGCCTTCACTAAATAAAGGTTTCATTATTGTTTTTATGTGAAGTGGAAATTTTGCTGTCAGACTTTATAAATAAATGCAGTAGATGTGTTCCAAGGAGGGTGGTTTTAGAAGCCTGTGGACATGAATAGTCTGTGGGCTCAGCTGAGTTTCTCTGAGGCCCGTGTGAAGTCACTAAGGCTGATGTTCCTTTTCATGTTTCTTCACTTTTTTGAGGTCTATGATGGGATCAAACAAGGAACCAGATCTTGTGCATCTCGAGGCCAGAACAGTGGATGGTCGTAAGTACATCAAGTTTCCCATGATGTTCACAGTAATGCTAGTTTCATAAACCACATCTGTATTCAGGGAAGTCATTGGCAATAATCCATGTCATTTGGACCTGAGGACTTTTCCTGTTCTTAGTAATTCAGAATTGTCATAATAATTTTTGACAACTATCACTCAGTCAAGGTGTTTTCCTTTCCAGGTAATGAGAAAATTGAAAATTTTTTATTTCTACTGTGTTTTGTTGTTGCTGCTGCTGCTGCTGTTTTGTTTTGATTAGTTTTTCCAGTGTCCGTATTTTATCAGATGGCATCCAGGCAATGCCTCCCTGACTTGTTTGGAGAAACACAAAGCATTTAGGAAGCACAGATGAGGAGAGAAACATCCCATGCATCCCCATGAGAAGCAGCAGGAGGGAGAGTTGCCTGAGTCAGTTGTTCACCTTTGGTGTTCAGAACAACCCTAGCTAGGCCATCTATGGGGAAGAACTACAGTTTGTATGGAGATTGTAACATTAGGTACATGGTATAGAGGAAAGGAAGGTGAAAATCCAGAATTTAAACCCATGAAAAAGTCAAAAGTCTGCTCACTCATTGTGTGACCTTGAAAAATCTACTTGAGCTCTTTATGCCTTAGTGTCTTCACTGTAAGTTAAATAAGTTAATAATAACATGTCCTGTAATAACTGACATTTACCGGGCACTTATCTTGAACCAAGAATTATGCTAAACACTTTATTTGCTTTATCACAAGGAATCCTCACAATTTGTAGGTTGTCATTCCCCTTTTGCAGATGAGGAAACCAAGTCATAGAAATTTTAAGTAACATATTTAAAAAGCAACAACACAGGTTTCCTTCTCCTTCTTTGGTCTTGAAGATCTCTAGAAGGTCTAAGAGTTGATCAGTTAGCACTAGACCAAAGATTGGGCAGTAAAGGTGAAAAGGATGAAGGCAAACAGGAAAGTGCATAAGAAAAAGGGATGAGGAGAGAAAAGATGGGGGAAGAAAGAAGTCCTAAGTGCAGGGGAGAGAGAGAGGGAATGGCCTATCCACAGTTAACACAGAGCAGTGACTGTTAACTTGTCCAGCACTGAGCCAGAGAATGAGAATCTAATTATCGAGATAATCCCCAATATCAAAAATATCCCTTACAACCCAAAAGCTTCATCATCACTGGCACTTGCGCCTGTAGACTTGTCCTTAGCTCTTCTGAGCACAAAGGCAGCAATGCCTGCACGTTTCCAGCTGACAGCTCATGGAAGGTCACCAGTTACCCTGCAGCCGAGACCCTTCAGAAATCACAGGCATTTCGCTACTGTGCACACACCATGAGACCTTTCATCTCTAGACGTTTTGCTTCCTTTTTGGAGAGTGAATATATTCTCCTTCTCACAGAATCAGTGGAAGGAGAGACCAGGGTCCAAGCTGGCTATCACCTTCCTCCTTTATAAATTCAGGCAGGGCTGCTGTGTGTCCTGTCATGTGCCCCGCACGGTGCCCGACGCAGAATGAGCTTAACGCTAGAGCTTCTCTCCCACCTCTTCAGTGTGGTGGATGGACCTCCACTGCCCTGGGGCTAATTACGTCATCTTGGATCCCAAGGTTCCTTCTTACTAAACAATAGCCAATGCAGTCTTTGGCTAAAGTAAAAGCAATCATGTTCTCTTTTGAGAGCTTTGATTTGCTTCCCTTTGTTCTGGGGATAATGAGCAAAGTCCTCACCTTGACCCACGGCTGGGGCTTAAGCACCTGTCCATTTCCTCAGACTCACCTCACTCTGTCCTGTCCTCACTCCTTGCTTGCAGGCCCATGAGTTTGCTTTTAATTATTGGAAAATAGAAGGTTCTAGGACTCAGTTTAAGGCTCAGATCCCTGTCGTTTCCTTTCCTTGGAATATTCCCTTCCTCTTCTCCAATGAATTCAGTGTAATTAATCACTGTGAGTGATTCAGATTTTAGGTTAAGCGCCCGATTCTATTTTTTTGACTTTTTATTTTGAAATAATTGTAGATTCACATAAAAGTTGCAAAAAGTAGTAGAGGTCCTCTGTACTTTTCACCCAGCTTTCACCAAAGATAGCATCCAGTGAAACCACAGAACTATAACAAAACCCAGGAAAGTATCATTTCTTAGAGGAAGTCTTTCTTGAACTCCCGGTGTAACCCAGTTTCTCACTCTGTTTGCTTTCATCACACTCTATTAAATATTTTTCTTTATTGTGCTCATCTCAGTTTGAAATTACACATTCCATTTGCATGATTATTTGATTATTTGATCAGAACTTTTTCCTTCCACCAGTCAGCGCTGTGGGTGCAGGGGCCATGTATCCCTTTGGTCAATAGTCTGTCTGCAGCACATGCCACAGTGTCCACATGTATTATAGATAGAGCATAATAAATATTTGTTCAATGAATGAACGCATAGTTGACCAAGCGTCAGGGCTACCAACTGGCTGCCTAACCTCACTTCCAAGGTTGCCTGAAACCTATAGAACACTGCATCTCAGACTTCAGTATGCATAGGGTCCATCTGGGGACCTTGTTAAAATGCGAATTCTAATTCAGGAGGGACCCGAGAGTCTGCATTCCTACCAAGCTCCGAGGCGAAGCTGATGATGCTGGTCTGTGGAACATGCATAGGTCAAAACGTCCCATAAAAACGCTAATGAAAGAGCTTTAGGTTCTGTCTCCCATGACTACACACCTTGTTTTGAAAGCTCTGCATGGACTTGGGAGCATCCTAGGTTGCTTTCTTTTTGAGCCTCTGGGGCAACTGCTGCTTCCTGGCTTGTGACATTTAATGCACATGCCCCCGTATCCTGAAAACAGCAAGGCCCTCTCTTTCCCTGTTCTGCACTTTTATTTTTTTCTTCCCACCCATCATTATTCCTGTGTTCCCTGCAGGCATGGAGGTTGATCATGCCCGACTGTCATCTCAGGCTCAGCTTCCACAAGGCATGAAATATATCTGTGCTAATTTTATTTATTTTATTTTACTTTTTTTGCAAAGGCAGCATCTTCAGAAACTATCCAAGAGTAAAAATTCAATAAAGGGATTTAATTTGAAAAGTTATCCCTGTCAAAACAAAACAGAAATAAAAAAATTACCTACCAAATGAAGTAAGGATCTAAACATAATGCCTGACCTGACCGAGTGTAGAAAGTGGAGATTTTCTTGGTATCATGTCCTCCCTTCTTCTCCTGTCCTCTCTCCCTCCCTCCGTCTCTTTCTCTCGATCTCTCTCTCTCCAACACAGTAACCATGGCTCTAAGTAAAGGAAACAGAGCAGAGGAGGAGGAAAGGAATGAATACAGAGAGCTCAGAATGTGTAGCAAAGTGTTAGCAAATATAGCCAAGAGTTTACAGGTATTTCAAAATTAGACTCCAGGTTGCTCAGTTGCTCCAAGAATTTCAATATTTACACGTTATCTCTTTCCCCATTTCCTGATTGTGAGCTCTCCTGTTTCTCTAACTCTTCATTATTATTTAGTATAAAAGTTAAGTATATGGAACCTATTGTTTTAGTATAGGTCATACATCTTGTAGAAAATATGCAAAAAATAATGTGATACGAACAGGGTTTTTGGGGGGTTTTTTTTCCTGATTTTAATGGGTTTAGGAATTTTGTTTCCAAGACACTGAGACGTTTGACACGGGAAAAATCTCTCACTAGCTCATTTGCCTCATCCCTATGGGCTGGGCTGCAAGTGCTTATCTGGATTTGTTATTCAAAGTTTAGTTTTAGTCTCATTTGAAATCTCCCTAGATGGCGTTTTATAATTACTGCCCGTTTCGTTTGAAGTCTCATTCTGAGGGGAGGTAAGCGCTGAGAAGCTTTTGCTCTTTGAAAGTTTATAACTGGCATAGACGTTTCTTGCCAATTGTGCAGTGAAACCTGGATATTTTGTAGTTTATAATCGTGACAAGGACGTTATTCTTTCTGTATTAACTCTGTTTTGGGAGGCAAGCTGAAGAGAGCAACCTCAGTTACAATCAATCACTGGAGGTATTATTGGAAAATTTTAAACATATTTATAGAATGTGGCACTTGTTATTGGCCCCGATGTGCAACTGAGGACTGATTGACAGTTCCTCATCCAGGAAACAAAGTTTTAATGTTTACAAATCACGTGTGTGTGTGTGTGTATGTGTGTGTGTGTGAGAGAGAGAGAGAGAATGTGTACACACCCACACATTGTATGCACCCAGTACATTAAAACTGCTACCTGGCACATCAAAACAGTGAAAAGAAACCTACATTCTGTTGATTTACCTAATATAGGCACATTTGTGTATGTGTATGTAATCTATATAGATAGTTATGGAGAAAACAGTGACCACACTATTTGATTAAAAGCTTTATAAAAAATTGTATCTTATTTGGTTCTGTGTAGAAACCTTAGCTCAGAGCCTGACACATTTAATGTTTGTTGATTTAATAAATATATGTGCGTGTCACTGTATAAGCATGCTTTTTTAAAGCAGGGCCTTAAACCATACGGTCTGGGGATTCATGTGGGACTAGTGGATAAGCAAAAAAAATTCACTAACTCCCTGAAGTTTTGTGCCACATGTAATATGTGCATGTGTGAGTCTGTCTGATTTTGGAGAAAAAGAATGCAACTATTATCAGAATTCTTCATGTGGCAATTACACATAGGATGTATAGTTCTATATTTATGCTTCTCTGTAAACATGTCTTGTGAAGAGGACCTGTAATACCAAGTTTGACCCTTCTCGCTTCTCAAGGAAAGGTCAGACTGGTAACTTGATTGTTTCCACACTGGTGGTGATCCAAGCCACCAGGACAAAAGGCAGAGGACAATCACTCGCCTCAGGGTCTATTTACATGAGTAACCAACCTTGTAACAACTTGCCCAAGGACTTCGTATCTTTCACTAGGGGAAAAACAGCCAGACCCTTGAACCAACTGTGAAAATGAGTGCTCAAAACTCTTCCTGAAAGGAATCCCAAAGGAGAATTTCACACGCTGAAATAAAAGGACACTGGCACC